GGCAAAAATTAGAGAAGGGATTTATTATTTTTTTTGTTTATTTGAATTTTTTTATTAAAATTGTTTACAATAAATAGAGTCTATTGTAAGCTCGTGGAAATAAAGCGTCATGAAAAATAATTGTGCAAAAAAAAAAATTGTAATTAATATTGGGTATTTGTTGATGAAATGTTTGAGAGCGAAGATAATTTTAGATTGTTGATAGATATACTATTTGCTTTTATTTACTCTTTCGGTATGGATGTGACAGTTGAAAAGTAATAGGCGTTCATTTAATAGCGCTACTTGGCTTCATTACTTTTGGTCAGTTAGTTTAGTTGTAGGAGTCAGTGTTCGCAGTAAATTTTTTTAAATTTTTGACACAAGAGGTCTATTAAAAGTCGGAAATGACAATGATTGAGGATCGCTCAACATTTCTCAACTGATAAGAGAAGTCAATGATCTAAAATTAAGGAACAGAAGTAGTATAAGTTATCATCGATGGAGGCCCTTATTAAATTGAGATACATTTTATCTATCTATCTATCTATCTATCTATCTATCTATCTATCTATCTATCTATCTATCTATCTATCTATCTATCTATCTATCTATCTATCTATCTATCTATCTATCTATCTATCTATCTATCTATCTATCTATCTATCTATCTATCTATCTATCTATCTATCTATCTATCTATCTATCTATCTATCTATCTATCTATCTATCTATCTATCTATCTATCTATCTATCTATCTATCTATCTATCTATCTATCTATCTATCTATCTATCTATCTATCTATCTATCTATCTATCTATCTATCTATCTATCTATCTATCTATCTATCTATCTATCTATCTATCTATCTATCTATCTATCTATCTATCTATCTATCTATCTATCTATCTATCTATCTATCTATCTATCTATCTATCTATCTATCTATCTATCTATCTATCTATCTATCTATCTATCTATCTATCTATCTATCTATCTATCTATCTATCTATCTATCTATCTATCTATCTATCTATCTATCTATCTATCTATCTATCTATCTATCTATCTATCTATCTATCTATCTATCTATCTATCTATCTATCTATCTATCTATCTATCTATCTATCTATCTATCTATCTATCTATCTATCTATCTATCTATCTATCTATCTATCTATCTATCTATCTATCTATCTATAGCTATTAAATATTCTTTTAATTTTGTTATTAATATGAGTGATCGCAGTTTCAGCTCTTTTTTTATCTGCATACAGCCTCGTCTGTCTATATTTAGAACTTGTTTATTTTCAATTTTCTTCTTCTCGTTTAGTTGTTGTTATTTTAAATTGTCAATAAAAAATTGAAACAAATCATCAAAACAAAGTGTAAATAAACAAACACACACAGAAATGTTTGTTCGTGGCATAATTGATGTTTAAGTTTTATTGTTTTAATAATTTTTTTTTAATGGAATTGCTGTGTTAGCAAAATGTAGGTTAATTTTGATAAAATAACTAAAGCGAACATTAAAACAATCGAAAAATTAAGTACTTATAATTAAGCATTTACTTAAATAAATGTTGTCTTTTTATGGTCGTGTACTTACAACAGGTTTAGTTTAAATTAGTGTATACATTAAATTAAATTATGGACGAATGAAGAAGCATTTAATGGACTTTAGTCTGCATTTCAGTTAAAAATAGGTTTCTTTGTTTTTGGTTGCTTTTAAATGGATTTAAAGTAGAAACAATTATGATGATTGGTGGTTTAAATATCAGTAATTGAAAAAAAAAATTAAGTGCATTTTTTCAATGGATGCCTATCGACAGCAGTGGTGAGTGAAATAATAGCATAAATGTGTGCTAAGTAAGAAAGACTTAAGATGGGTTTAGAAATAAAACTTTCGATGAGTTTATGGATGAGTGTTTAGGCTTATGCGACTTTCGTCGAGTTCATAGATCTATAAACACTTTAAAATCTCATGTATAAATTAATGTCTAGTCTATAAACTCGATACCATATTAGAGTTTATAGTGGCAAGACTTTCGACGAGTTTATAGATAAGTCTGTAGATGAGTTTATAGATGACACTTTAAACAAGTTTCTATGTAAGACTTTAGACGAGAAGACTTACACAAGTTTATAGACCTTTAAATGAGTTTATAGACAGACGAGGACGTGTGAATAGAAGACAATGAGTTTATAGATGAGACTGTACACGAGTTTATAGACAAGACTATCGAGTTCATAGATCTATAAACTCGTTACTATACTAGAGTTTATAGTGGCAAAACTTTCGACGAAATTCTAAATAAGGCTGAAGCAGATAAAACTTTAGACGAGATTCTAGGTGAGACTTTAAACGAGTTTATAGACTAGTTCTTAAATGAGTATAGGACGAGTTTATACGAGTTTATAGATGTGACTGTATACGACTATATAGACTATACTTTAGACGAGTTTAAACATAAGACTTTAGATGAGTGAATCGGCCCATGTTTAATGTGGTAGTTCACTGCGCGCGAACAATCAAGTAGGGTCGAAGAGACTTCGTTTTGAACTAGACCATACAAAAGACGAGTTTATAGACGAGACAGCAGACCATCCTACTGACGAGACTTTATACGAGTTCATAGATGAAACCATAGGCAAGTTTATAACCTATATTCGAGACTTTATAGATAAGACTTCAAACGAGTTTATCGACAAGAGTTTATATGATATAAAGGATCTTTAGATGAGTTTGATGGTGAGTCTTTAAACGAGTTTCTAGGAGAGATTTTACACAAGTTTATAAATCTTTAAGCGAGTTTATACATATTAGACTTTTGAATTTATAAACAAGACTTTAGAAGAGATTATATAAATTTCAGTCCAGTTTTAGACGAGATATCAAACTATAATAGCTGTAATTTTCGACGAGCTTATAAACGTTTAAATTACTTTTTAAACTAAACTTTAGTCAGGTTTATAAATGAGTTTAAAGACAAGATTAGCTGAGTAGAGGCGACACAAATATTCCTCAACTATATATGCAAACATTGCTCTTATTTTAAACCTAACTGCAAGTTAAAACTGTATGTTAAATACATAATGATCCACAAAAGATATAAGTAATAATAAATACAATAATCACTGTGATGATGATAATAATAATGATAAAACGTTTTAATAATAATGTTTCATAGCGTAAACAGTTTTTTTTTTAATAAAATTATTATTATTTTTTATTATTTCTTTGTGCAATAATATTAAATTGTGTTGTAAGAGTGTTAAACCACAGAAACCGTACGATATGTATGTTCGACATGATTGAGATGATGGTTGGTTGCATGGATTGATAGCTTTAGATGATGAATGAATAAGGAATTACAAGAATTACAATTGCGTGTTGTTTGTTGTTGGGTGTGTGTGTGTATGTATGAAATTGGAATGTTTGATTTGAATATTTAACTGCAAAGCAATTGTACATTATGATCATTTCAACATGTAATATGAACCAACTTCATCATAATCATCATAATCTTGATGATTGTTATATTATTTAAAATGTAAACAAATAAATACATACAAAAAACATAAACATCACTCATACAAACATATTACCATGCCATTACAATACCAACAATGAATGCCACACAAATGATTTTATAATAGTCATAGATTTGAAAGAGCAACTTACGCTTGCAGCAAATCTTTTTGTGCTTTACTGCCACCCAAAGACCAAACTTCACTTTTTTTCTGTCTGGTCGTATAAGAAATTTGTTTATTTGTTGCATCGTAACGTCCCTTGGGATGACTTTTACGACCGCCTGGTATCCAAAGCATACGTAAACCCGATGATTTTTTACCGTTACGTGATGCCATCGTAACTAAATATATTTTTGTTTTTGTTTTTTTTTTTTTTTTTGTTTAAATAGATAAATTAAATTTCAATATATAAAATGATTATACAAATATATATAGTTTATAAATGTCGTTAAAAAATGTAGGGAATTGTTTATAATTTGAGAGTAATAGTTGTGTTAATAATAATAGTTATGATTGGTCGGATTTTGAGTTATTGATTGCAGTGTTTGTGATTTTAAAATATTTGAGTTTTTATAGGTTAAACAGGATATTTAGTGAACAAAATGGGTTTTGAATGGACCTAAACCAAACTCCCTTTTTGCTAAAAAATCTATATTCTACCAATTTATAGATAAAATTTTGGACAAGTTTATTGGGGAGACTATAGGTGAGACTTTACACGAGACTTTAGACGAGTTTAAATACTAGACTTTAGACAAAACTATAGATGACATTATAGACAAAACTTCAGACGTGTGTAACGAAAAGACGTTAGGCGAGAAACTTTAGACGAGTTTATAGAATATATAGAACATTTTATAAACCAAATATAGGATAATTTTATAAACGAAACTTTAGAATTTTAGACGAGTTTATAGACATCAAACGAGGTAATAAAACACGCTTTAAACATGTTTGGAATGAAATTTAGACGGTTTTTATAGAATGAGTTTATTGACTAGATTTTTGGCGAGTTTATAGACAAGAATTCAGATCAGTTTATAGACAAGACTTCAGACCATTTTATAGACAGACCAGACAATAATTTAGTCGTGTTTATAGAATACTTTACACGACTTTATAAAAGAGACAATTGAGTTTATAAACAAGATTTTAGACCAGACTTTAGACCAGTTTATAGACAAGGTCATAAAGAAAATATTATAATTAAAACAACATTTTAGACCAGTTTATAGTATAGACTTTAGAAGAGTTTATAGACGAGACTTTATAGAAAATGACTTTAGAAAGGTCATAAAGAAAATCTTAGACGATTTAATAAACAAAATTTTAGACGAGTTTATAGACAAGACTTTAGAAGAGTTTATAAAATTGATCTCAGACGAGTTTAAAGAACACTTTAGACAAATTTATAGAATAGATTTTATGTAGTAGACTTTAAACCAGTTTATAGACGAGTTTAAAGCCGAATTTATAGACTAGACGAGGCTTTAGATGAATATACATATATAGAATAATTTTTAAAAGGTTTAATTGAAGACTCTTTAGACGAGTTTATAGACTTTACATTAGATTTTATAGAAGAGACTTTAGACAAGTTCATGAAGGAAACATTAGACATTTAAAAACAAAACTTTTGACGAGTTTATCGACAAGACACTAGACTGGATACTTTAAACTATATTAGAGACGAGTTTGCAGTAGACTTTAGACGAGTTTATAGAAGAGAAACTCGAGTTTATAAACAAGACTTTAAACAAGTTTATAGACGACACCTTAGACCAGTTTTTAGACAAGTTCATAAAGAAAATGTTGGAGGATTTTATATACAAAACTTTAGACGAGTTTGTGGACAGACCTAAGAAGAGTTTATAAAACTGAATTTAGACGAGTTTAAAGAACACTTTTGACAAGTCTTTTGAATAGAATTTAGACGAGTTTTTAGACAAGATTTTAGACAAGTTCATAAAGAAAATGTTGAAGGATTTTATATACAAAACTTTAGACGAGTTTGTGGACAGACCTAAGAAGAGTTTATAAAACTGAATTTAGACGAGTTTAAAGAACACTTTTGACAAGTCTATAGAATAAAATTTAGACGAATTTTTAGACAAGATTTCAGACAAGTTCATAAAGAAAATGTTGGAGGATTTTATAAACAAAACTTTAGACGAGTTTATGGACAGACTTTAGAAGAGTTTATAAAACTGAATTTAGACGAGTTTAAAGAACACTTTTGACAAGTCTATAGAATAAAATTTAGACGAATTTTTAGACAAGATTTCAGACAAGTTCATAAAGAAAATGTTGGAGGATTTTATAAACAAAACTTTAGACGAGTTTATGGACAGACTTTAGAAGAGTTTATAAAACTGAATTTAGACGAGTTTAAAGAACCCTTTTGACAAGTCTATAGAATAAAATTTAGACGAGTTTATAAACTTTAGGAGTTTCTAGAATAAAAAATCATAAATCATGTTTATAGAATAGACTTCAAACGAGTTTAAGGAAGAGGCATTATACGAGTTTATACGTAAAACATTAGACGAAACTTTATACTATATATTTCATAGACGAAACTTTGAACGAGTTTATAGAAAAGAAAGCAAGAATTTAGACGTGTCTTCAGACAAATTTATAGAAGAGACTTTAGACGAGTTTATTACCAATAATTTAGACGAGAAAAGATTTCAGACTCGTTTATAGACGAAACTATAGACTAGTTCATAGGCTATAGGTGAGATGATTTTACAGTTTATAGACGAAAATGTAGGCTGCTGCAAGTTTCATCTATTGACTCCACTGTCAGAAAAAATAGGGAGATTTGTTTCAAACATTCCAAGAGAAAATATAAAATACTTGCTTTTAAACTACAGCTATTTTTTCCAACACAACTGTTTAAACTTATATAAACAAAACATGTTTATGTTTAGATAACAAACAAACCCAAAAAAAAAATCACATGCTTAAATATTTTCCAATACAAAACGAGTTGCTAACAGCAAGAAATGACTGAAAAAGTGGTTGCTGGAACTCTCATCCATTTGCAGCTTGCAAATGCTTTAAGTTAAACAAAAATGTGGTTGTTAGTTACTAAAATCAACGATGGATGGACGGATAGATGGATGCTCTATTCTAAAATGTACAACATCATTATCATCATGCCCCAACGTATATATATATGTATATAAACGTGACATAAATCAGCAGCACGATTTAGTAGTGTGTTGTCACCAAACCGAAGAAAAAAGTTATAAAAAGAATTGTAACCGTCTATTACGTTTGAAAAAAAAATGCAAGAGGCAAAGCATGAAAAAACAAGACTAAATACAGAGAAAAATAACCAGATTTCAAGATACGAGGAGTGGTTCATGTACACAACATGTTGGTATTCATTGCATTTTGCAGTCCAAAGTGTTTACTTTATATATGTACCAATACAAAGCGGCTGTTATTAGTGTTGTTGGTGGTGGTTGCATGAATTTATGGTCGGTCGGCTGTTTTCTTATTATTGTTTCTTTTTTTTGTCTCAACTGTCTCGAGAAATAAAACAAAAATAATTGACTTAAAGTGACGACTCCCAATATTTTTCTTTTTGCACTTTTTAAAAAGTTGTGTAACGGAAGAGGCGGGCAATCTAGTTTCAAATATGACGGGGATTAAAGTAGTAAATGCCTATGGTTATTCTCTAGGACTTCATGTCCTTTAGTTGGATCCAGTTTACGCTCTAAATTTAAGCATAACAACAAGGGGATGATTAAAAGTTAGTTTCGAATACTAACTTCACGAAGTGAACAAACTTCCCTTGATCCCAGTTTTCATTTTAAACATTTTTATAAATCCCATTCCTATATGCTACACACCACAGTTTGGACAGCTCCGTTAAAATCTTCAATATATTCTCAATTTTATGTTGTTGTTTTTTTATTACTAAAAACAATCAAAAAGAATGCAAGACTCGTAGCTCCATAAAACATCGACAAAAGCAATACATCTTGTTTGTGTAACAATAGAAGGAGGAGTGTGGATGACGATGATGGCGACGAAGAAACAGAAGAAGACATTTCCATAAGTAACCATCGATTTATCAACTTTTAAAGGATTGTATACTAGTTGTTCTTTATTTGGAAAACTGCGAACGTCACAGCATACAATACAGGGACAAGCTATTGAACTGTATTTTATTAAACGACAAATTATAGAAGTTATTTTGGAATTTGAACGAATTATAAATACACTTCTAAACGCATAATTTAAAGTCTTAACTTGGTTTTGCTATTAAGGAGCAATGTTTGCATATCAAAATGATTACCGTTTTAAATTTAGCTAATTTTCCTCCAAAGAGAGGATGCAAGAGCTCTCAGAGGCTATAGGTCTATTTACATTTTTCCTTCCTAGAGGAAACCATGTGTGGTGTTGTACTGATTATTCTTACTCCTCCAACTTCTGCACAAACTGTTACTTGGATTTGCCATGCGATCTGCAATGCGTCAAATCTTACAGTCCTCAGAATGTGGGGCAATAAGAAGCTTTCTTTCAAGAGCGAAGAAATATAGTCAAGGCAATTTTCTGTGAAAGACAGATAGCACTTTGGATATTCTGCAAGTGAGCCATATGAGTTCCTTTTGCGAAACGGTTTCATCCAAGGACTATACGTAAATTGCGCTTTCGTTAGCAACCTCATTTCCCCAATGAACTTGTATCGTAGAAACCTAATCAATTCGACAGAGTCTCTCATCTAAGTTTTAAGAAGGCGAAGGAATACAAATACTGGTTACATAGAATGGCGTTAATTTTAGCCTGGAAACAGTACAGACAATAACCAATCTGATCACTATACAATTTGATCTTCATCGTTCGGACACTAAAAGAGGAAGTGAATATCCCTTCTTTATATTTGAACACTGCACAACTTCATTTGCTTCTGCCACGATCAAAGCTTATAAAGATCAAGTTTAAGGAATGTTCATCGTTCGGACACTAAAAGAGGAAGTGAATATCCCTTCTTTTTTTGAACACTGCACACGATCAAAGCTTACAAACATCAGAGGGATGTAGTAGTCAATATTAATCAAGATTTATGTATACCTAAAAGTTGAACGGGACTCCAATTGAGAAAGAACTCGATTGTTTCGTCTTCATACTAAGTCCTAATCCTAACCTATTTTCAACGCAAACAAACTACGGCCATCGTAAAGGGCCAAGTCAGTCTTGATATCGAGAATGATTCTCCGATCTTGTAGATATTTGGGTATTTCTCAAGCCTTCTTCTTCCCTTCTTTCCCTTCGTTGAATTGTCATTCTCAATAAAAGATGATCCATCCGTTGTCTCTACAGCTAA